TTTATTGAGTCCACAGTTTGCAGGCTTCTTTATTAGATACTTCTCTCATTTCCTGTAGTTAATTTTAATTGGTTGTTATGATCGTCATCGGCAAATTCTCCACTGTAAATAAAGATTCTGATTCTGAAATCCGAGATGGTTAATATTTTATTCATTTATGTTTATGCATTCTATTTCTCCAATCCAATTTTCTGAAAACGCCAGAATGTGTATACCACATGTTGCTATAAATAGCCCGAGCGAATGCATGTGGCCCTGTCTGACACCGGTTCTATTTCGCATTCTGTTTCTTCATGCAATCTCAGTTTCGCTGTTCCAATTGTATACATAATATAGCTTTCATTACACTGTACATACTGCATTTTCTACTAATGCCTTGTTTTGTGAGATATTGGATGACTATCAATTTCCACTGAGTTAAATGCCTTGTAACAGTCTACCAAAGGCTTAGGCATCATGCTAGTTGATTATTCATTTGTATTTTGCAGGATCGGATTGATCAGTATTATGGGCGTGCATGTAATTTTGTTAAAGGATATAAGATATCTGTTGTTTGGGACACAATCGGAACACACTGCAACAGTAAGTATTCCCATGGCAGTTATCACAGTGATGAAATAAAAAGGTGGACCTGAGCCGACTGGGATACTCTTTGGAAGCTGAACTGAATGAAAAGCTAACGTGCCTGAAGAAGAGAAAGGTGTTTTTTTTTATTTGTGTGCATGAAACTGCTATGACATGGATCAGAAATAGGGACGTTGACAAAATGAAACAAAAGATATAAATTGTAAGGAAGGGTCTCAGAGTACGCGGGCTCAGAGTACATGGACCCGCTCATACGCGACCGACCCCGATTCATACTTACACTTTGTGACTCGTACTTTCACTACACGCACGGGGTAGAAAGTGAGTCAAATCACCCCCCCCCCCCCGCCATCAAGACAACATGTATTTAACGGCGTGTAACTTATACATTTTATGTATACTAATATAGGCTAACCCCTATATTAGTGTAAGGATGGTGGCCTTCATCCAGCGGTGGATAAAATCACGGCTGATGATGGACAACTCGGCCTGTTGGTAGAAATGTCATATTTCCTATCAGTGACGAAAACAACATTAACCCCATGCTTCTATTTACAAGCAAACACTCCGTGTGCTTTGTTTGCATGGTGTTTATACTGATATCAAAAGCGATATTCAGCAAAAGTAGAGGTAAAAGTTACCTTTCGAAAACGCCAATAATCACAAGCCAATTCTGGCACACATTCCTCTGCTACACTAGCTGATGTGTAGTACGGTGCTAAACTGGGACAGCGCTGGCACGTGAAGTTGCGCTACAGCGTAGAGACGGCTGCTAATGTTATGTCAGCACTACTTTGCACGCTATTGTGTTTTTATATTTGAGAGTGAAATTCGCCATTTATATAAAAACAATCTATTTCCGACCCCCGCCTCCGCCTTGCAAGTTTTAGGGGTTCCTTCCAAAACCCGGACACGGTATATATGTAATGGGTTCAACTGAGTCGCAGACGTAGACTTTGGAGGCAACACATTTATTCAGTTCCAACACACGGGGCAACTTCCCCTTAACAGAATAACAACCTATGGTGGTGACCACCCGGCTGACTACACTAGTTACTACGTAACTGTTACTACGGACCCGGGACTACAACATCTGCCCGGGTCCACGTGCTGGAAGACTCGTAGACGAAGGGTTTCTTTCCCGGCTTATATTCTCTGTGGCGTGGACGGCTCCGTCCTTGGCCACGTCCACCTTCCAGAATCCTCGGGAAGGATCTGGGTCCCAATCACGTGACCCCCCCCTTGCCCCCTCTTGGGGCCCCTCTGTCAACTTAACCAGTCACGTGTCCTCCAAGGTCAACCAGAGTGCCATGGCCTCATACAACCTTATCCCTTGGTCGGCACCCACACACCCTGTCCTGTAGGGCCGACACTGCACTTACAGCCTGGTGCCATCCAGCGCTATTATCCAGCGCACACCGTGCCCCTGTAGGGCCGGTACTGCACCCACAGCATGGTGACATCCAGCGATGCCACTACATATATTCTAATGTTATTTTGAGAACACAGCGTACTTCATTGTAAATATTTGACATTGTCTCCTAAAGAGTTTGTTCTCTTCCCAGCTGCTCAGAATGCTGCACAACTAATGAGATTACAGATAGGCTTAGGTATACTACACATTGCATCCCTCAAATGCAATATTTTCTTAATGACCTAGAAACATGTACAGTTAAGGTTTAAGCAAAAGCACATTGAGTTTGATGTGAAAGTTAAGAAATATAAGCGAACTTGGGCAGGACACATCGCCAAAAGCAAAGGTGGTCCATGGCCAAGAATGTTTACGTCTACTGAAGAGATGGAGCGATCAAATCAGCTTGTGTGTACAGAGGTGGATTGAGAAAGTATAAACTTTCCAGGGGTGGGAGCCGTATAAACCATGTCAACCTTTTTTATACGTTAAATAATGTATTTTCTCTGTTAAATATCAATAAGATATACATTTTCAGAGTATCAATGGGGGAGATCACCCTCATTCTCTCCGCTTCACATGGATCCGCCACTGAGTACACACGTGCCAAGTGGATTATTACATCGCTGGATCAAGGGAGATCAGAGCTGCTTGGGGAGGCGTTCATCCAGCAGTGGATAGACTTTGGCTAACGATGATGAAAGTTGCTTATCAAAGCATTCTGTGGTAAATAGCCCTGTTTAATGCCCTTTTTGAGCTAAATTGAGATAAATGGAGAGCTGGCCCCAGTCCTGACCAAACAGATTGGGCACAAGCCTCCAAGGCTTTTCCTCTTCCAATTAATAATTCAAGAAATATGTTTTATTTTATTTTAAATAATTGAGCGTGGCACACGAGCAGTAATTTTACTACATACATAAAAGTGGGTGGACAGAAGCTCTTGGCCTTGGCAGCCAACGGGGAAAGATTTATTATTGCTGAATCCGCGCACGGTGTTTACCTTCAGTGATGGGGACATTGCGACCGTGTGTGGTTGTTTGGCCTGTGATATCGAGTGTTAGAGGATTCCATCTGAGGGGACATTTATGAGGACGGGCGTGATGCGAGGGAAAACCAGCGAGCTTCTTTAGTCCTCTGCTCAATGGCAGCAGGCCTTTGGCTCAAACGCCCCCCTCAATGCCGTCCAATATTTAGCTTTCTACTTTAAATCGCTGTCGGGTCCCACTTTTCTTTAAAATTAAACATTATTTGGCGATGGTGCTGCTGCTGCATTGGCAGTGGTGTGCAAGCACACATAAAAATCAACATATTCGCCAAAAACACTGCCCCAAAAAGAAAAAAATGTAATAGTCAGTGTATCGAGCAACGGTCATTATTCACCGCACATAATTTTCAAATTCAACCAATCAGTTTCAAGGATAATGCATATATTATTAGAGGATGTTTTTTGTTTGCATTCTGACCACAAGCATTGTGGCTAATGCAGTTTGTTGTTTTAACATCTTAACACCTGTTCTGTTGCCAGAAAAAAAAACTATTATCAGAATTTTTCTTCTTATTCTTGACTTCTTTCCTCACATCCTTCCAGAGTTTTCTTCACTGAGATTTCACCTCCGAGAATGTGCACGGTCTACATCTTTTGCCTCTTCTGGATTTATTCTCGTGAACTTATCTCCTCCTTAACCTGCTCAATAACTCTCTCGTTGGTCTACTTCTGTCCATCCAACTGATTTTATCCATTTATCACTAAAACCCTAATTTCCAGTATTTCCAGTCTTCTTGTCTTCTTTTCTCAGAGTCCACGTTTCTGTCACATGCAACAATACACTCTATACTCGGGGGGTCTTCACGAGTCTCTCTCTTTCTTCAACCCCTCTGGCACGTAAAATTAAAACAATTAATGCTGTACCCAATATTGCCACTAGGGGTCAGCAAATAGACGCACCTCGTCTCCTCCAGTGTTTTTACTTTCAGGCTAACGGTATCTATTTTTTTAGGCAAGTTTCAGGTTAGAGCATTCACATTGATGACCTTTTTAATATACATTTTCTCAGTAACGTTTAGTTTTCGAGGCTTTTGAAAAATACTTTAAAATGTTATTTGTAGTGTAGTGGAAACTGGACATAATCACACCCCTCGTCGATGGCGCCATCACTACAGGGCACGCGGCCTTGCCGGTGAGCCGGGAATCTGGCCAGGAAGCCAGCCAGCAAAACTTTTTCTAATACAGTATACAGTAGTGTGAAAACAGTTCTGTGTGAGCAGAAACCACTTTGAGTGCCATATTTCGTGGACATAAGCAGGTGCTGTAATTAGAAAATATCGTAGAGGCAATTTGATACTGAACTGGTTGCATAACAGCTGAATATACCTCTAGATAAAACGTTAATATTACTGTTGGAAGTAGTAATACATTGGCACGTGTGTTAACGTGACAACTTTATTATTTGGCTATTTGTGTCCGGTGGAGGAGGGAGGGGAAGGTGCAAGAGAGACCATATGGTCAACGAACTCTCTTGACCGAAACAGGGTAAGGAAGCCTTCATCCAGCAGTGGATTGACAATGGAATGTAAGCAATGATGATTTATTATTCATGGCAATGCACAGTTCTGGAAAGTGAGACGTTACATTGCTAATAGCAGCAGTGGATGTGGTTATGATTAGAGCGCCACGGTGGCGAGATGTTAAATATCTCGCCTGGCATGCAGATGGTCGTGGGTTCGATCCGGAACCTGATGCCTGTATATTTGGAGTTTGTATGTTCTCCCCGTGGTCGCGTGGATTTTTCATTTAGAAACGTGCGTTTAAAGTATTTGGCAGCAATATATTTCCACGCGATAAGCCACTTCGTTAAACTATCATTTGTGGCCAGGTAGCTTCTGGAAAAGAGCTATATGGGCCTAACCTGGTAAAATATATATTTTAAAAATCTTACAACCGAAGGTGCCACCGTAATCTCTGCTTAAATCAACCCCCCCCCCCCCACAGTAATTAAATTGCGGAACAAGTGGTTGTTGAAGATTGCTGGGCCAGGTGCATAGCTGTTGTGTCTCAGTCTCAACACGGTTTGGTGACTTCAGTGCTCTGTGCACGAACCGATCCCCTGCCCAAGTCACCCAGGCGCTATTGACAGCTTTCTCATGGCGTTTGTCACTCAGAGAGCTCGTGAGAGTTGCAGAGTGTTCATTTGAAATGCTCACAAATACAAACGCAAGCACTGCGCTTGGACTGATACAGTCCAATTTGCAGTCTTCTTGCCAAATAAATGCAGTAAATCCGGATAATGTGATTACTCGGGGCGATATCAGACGAGTGCTTATACAGCTTTTGAACTCACTGCTTGCACTGATGCATTGTTTATAGACAATGCGTGCATTTATCTCCAAATATGGCGTTTAAAAAAAATCGTTATTTGTTTTAACATTCAGCAGAAATTCGGGCGAGTTGTTATGAAGAGATGCAATTACAGAGAGAGAGAGAAGAAGAAGAAGGGATCCCCCACGTACAATCCCCCAATAAAATCGCCGATCCGCGGAAGCGTTGTCACATCCTCGCCGTCGCCCGTGTCACCTAACCACTCACCGAGATTCACGCAGCAGCAGCAGCACGCTTTCATTACAACCTCCCCAGATCCGGCCCTCCCCCACCCCCTGCCACTACCTTCCCGAATCGGTCATTAACAGCCCAGAGACCTCTCATCACGAGCATCTCCCCCCCCACCACCCCACTTCGAGGCCGTGCCAATCCTCGCCCCCCCTCCCTACGCCACGCCGAGCGAGAGCCGAAGAATTAGGTACCTTATATAAGTGCCGCGGCTCGTGCGCCTTCAAACCGGCTCGCGCGCACCGCGTATATATACACACACACACAAGACGCGCGCATCGCATCGCGAGAGGCCGCCGGGGGGATATACCCGTGTAAGTCCCCCCCCCGCTCTGGGTCAAGCGTGCGCCGAGTTGAGGAAGCGAATCCCGGCCGCAGCTGCCGACGCTTCAAACGGCAGCTCAGGTGAGGGAGGAGAGTGAATGCGGCTCGGGGGTTTCTTGTTGTTGTTGTTGGTGGTGGTGGTGGTGTCCACTCCACGTTATAGCGCGCAAGTGTCCCAATTTGTTTGGAGACAGCTCTATAACGCGAAATTCACGGATTTTTCCTGATCCCCTGTGTGCTGTATTTTGTTGACGTTCAATAGATATATTTTTTGTTGAGTTTGTTCCAGTGTGTAGAAACATTGCCCTGGAAAGGGCTCTATATGTTATGCGTTGCACACACACACGTATGTGAAGTGGTGTTCTGGTTGTTACCGTAATAAAACATGTATCTTTGTAGTAAGGTAATTTTTGGAACTGCCAATTACTTATAATTTGCATTTGTATGTGTACCGTATGTTATTTCACAGAATTGTAATCTACACGTCTTGACCGCTGTATAATAATTGTATGTGCTTATACTTTACCCAGTAATTTCCTTGCGATGAAGACATGTGGGTCTGTTTGAATTAGTTATACATAAATAAGCACCATTTAAAATAAATAAGCACCATTGAGGATGGATAATGAAAAGGAAAATGTAGTAAATAGAAAAACCATCCCCGTACTTATACGTTATGTACATAATCCTTAGTGTAGTTATATTACTCGAACGCTTTTCTGACAGAATGCTACCTGCGTGTTATTTAAAGAATACAACGTTTGTGTTTTGCAACTTCCTGCAGGCTAATTTATGGACTGAATTTTGAACAACTTAAATTCACCAATCCACTGTTATGCCGGAGTACATACATTTAATGATTCATGTAAAAGCATAAAAAAATATTTTCCAGCCTTTTCTGTTCTCAATTGCCTCTTTACCGTCTATGTAGCCAGAAACAAATGCCCACGTGTACCAGTGAACATGAGGTATACAACATTGATTTTCATCTGAGTGGCTGTTAGAGAGCGAGGAGCGAGGAGAACTGGAAGGTGCAACAAAAAAACAACCCATGGACAAAACTATTTCGCTGTCCATCTGTCACTCGTCCAAGGAAAGCTCAATGTCTTTATGGTACAGAATTAATCACGGTCACTGAATTCCAAGCAGGAACTGCACCTTGTTAGTGTGCGGTGTCTGGCACGTAAAAGCACGGCAGTGTGCAGAGGTGGCACTGCGAATGATTTGGTGCTTGAATTTGCAGCGGTGTCGTCTGCCTGTGACCCGCAATGCTAACGACAGTTAAGGATGAAGGTGCACGCACAAATAGGCTTTGTTGCGAGTGGTTCCGTTCCATGGTTTTGAAGGGCACTGGCAGAACAAAATGTGCAAGTTCATTCCTTTCACCTCTTTATACTTATTGGCTCAAGAACATACAGTGGTGGTGGTGGTGACAACAGTGCTGCAATAGTAATAACATCAAGTGTATGACTTAGTCTGTCGGGGTATTGGTCAATGTTGCGTTTTGTTGACTGATGCTAACCAGCAGCATATGTTTAAGCAAGACAACTTTGGATTAGTTTCGACTTTCTGGAACTCAGCAGCAATATCACGCTTGCTTGTTGGTAACGCTGATGGTGAATAGAAGTTCAGAAAGCCACGAGGCCAGAGTAGTCATAACAAATATCGACGCTTGATTTTCGTATTTATTTCTCAGAAAGGCCCACACCACGTTATATTTGACACAGGTGGTCCATAGAGCATTGGGGGGTAATACGCGAGCTTTGTTTACATTTGAATGCTGGATTTTTTTGAGAGTGGCTGAACCTGTGGGTGCTAATCTATTAAGTCAATGCCAGTGTGTACTCAGTAATAACATGTGGAATGTATGTTTTATTCGTATTCTACGAAACCCCCAAGGGCAAATATTTTTTAAGGACCCTCATTCATATCCATCTGCTGTTTTGTTCCTTTTTCAGATACCAACATACGTATGTAGAATCACAATAGGATTAGACCCCGTGGGTGTTCATGTCTGAGCTTGCAGGAAAGACCACAAGCTGTAAACAAAAGACACTGCAAAGGTGTGTCAAATATAATAACCCTTATTCATACGAAGGTTATTGCATAGCCTCAGGGAGGTGCAACAATAACTGATGGACTGTATTAATTTTGACCTGGTCAGACTGCTGTAGAGATTAAAGCACGAGTGTTATGTTGGTTCCGACAAAAGCGCTAAACTGACAACTGTGTGCCCGCTGGCAAGACTGGGTGGCAATTTCTCCATTTAAGGGACAGTTATTTGTTGTACTCTGTTTGAATGACCACATAATAAATAAAATGGGAAATGGATGAATGTTAGCAAAAACATCCACTTATTTAACTGAACCCATTGAACCACTTTTCTGTTTTGAGCACTCTTGCCCTTTTTTGAATTCAGTGTTTTGTTGTTTTTGTCCGCTATTGCGTGTGCTTGCTCAAAATGAAAACAAACAGCAACTCAAGGACAGTTTTTTTCTTTCTTCGTGCAGTAACTTGGTTGAGACTTTATGTTGCTGCTTGTGGTAACTTTCCCAGTTGAGAAAAAATGTAAGGCAAAGGCGTAGCCTTGAACCTTTTCCTCCTTTAAAGTGAAGGCCTACCACTTGAAAGTATTTTGGTCTTCTTTTCCACGATGGCCAGGCCTATTGGAAGAGTTTGGAGTACCTAAACTTTACGCCACCACACATGGCCTGTCGATTGACTAACTGTTGTGTACCCATTTTTAAAAAATACTTGATAGACAAGAGGTGGGGAGATTTAAGAAAAGTGCCCCCATTGTTTCAAATCTTATTCTAGAGAAAGATTATTTTTACTTCGCCCTGGTGGCTAAAATATTTAGCAACTCAGAGGTGATGTGGCTCAGTACCTAGACACTGTGAGCATTAGGTTTCTGAGCTACTCAGCCAATGTAGCCTCAGCTCACAGAGGTTTTTCCATTCATACTTACAGCTGATCTAATAACGGGGGACATCCCCAAGCACGGCTGAAGCTAGGACACTGAAATTGACTCTTCTTTCTCAAACCTGCTCGTCTACGTGTTGACTATCCGTGTAGCAGGGGTTCTCTATCGCTGTGCTAACGCGCATGACACGAAGGTTCACATTTCTATTACGAATAATTGGTGCCAAGTTTATCTGAAATTAATGTGGTTAATTCTGGTATGTGTTGATCAGTGTGTTCCATTATACTCTACCACATTGGCCGTGAACTGAAGTTTTAACTCGCACAATTACTGCCAATTAAGTACAAATTTGTTGTTTCGGCGAATGTATGCGATGAATAACAGGAATGTAACAATGTATCCATTCATAAATACATGCATCAAGATATGCGCAAAATAACTTTGAATTCGTACATGTTGGTTCACGTGACCTCTGCTGACACGAGGGTGGCAACATTTACCACAGCCCATTAACTTAATCGATTATTTACCCTAGACACATGACAATCGCCATCGACTGTATCCAGTTGTACCGACTACCATGAGCTAAAATGTTGTTCTGTATCCAGAATAAGCAATTTAACAGCAACCTTTCTTGTACATGACAGTCTCGTCAATACTTCCTCAAGAAGATCAGTCGACCCAACCAAGGCAACGCATTCCTATTCCGTTAGAGTAAAAGACAGCATTCATTTATTGCCGTATTTATAATTGTCCGGTTATGTATTCTCAGCTTACGTGTGTCTGTCCAATCGTTATTACATGCCCCCATATTGTGCATCACATGTCCGGGTTGTTAAAGGCTTGCCTTTTCTTTCTGGAATTCAGTGAGATAAATGCATAACCGAGAAAATTTAACAATTTGGACAAAGTAGCATCTCTTTAAAATCTCAATGGCTGATGCACAACGTAGTCAATGGCAATTAAAACTCCGATTTGGACAGCATTTGACGTATTCATTTTAATGACTTCTGGAGAACATTTTGTTTCACAATGGTTCTGTTCGGTAAAGTGGTAGGCAGGTTTGGAAGCCAGTAATGCAATTAGATTTAAATTGTTGAAATACCGCTGCGTTAAGTATTATATAGAGAACACATTGTACACTGATAATACAATTTTCCCCTTTTATCTGGCAACAAAACAGGTTTGTTCTCTCTCTCAGTTTCAAAGACAATGCATATATTATCAGAGTTTTTTGTTTGCATTCTGGCCACAAGCATTGTGGTTAATGCAGACATGATTTCCTTGTAAAAGGTTTCAGTTTGGTGTTTTAACATCTCAACACAGCTGTTTTGTTGCCAGAAAAAAAGGGGAAAAACCTATTATCATATTATGGTACTGGCAAAGGAGATCCCATGACATTGTACACTGTATTATACTACAGTATCATGCAGCTGTTAACGTCACCTTTCTCTATCGCACATTCAGTATATAATACACATTCCTTATTTTACGTGCTGTTTTCATATTTACGTGCACATTTAAACGCCGTGTGATTTTCATGTGCGCGTATGCGCGCGCGCGCGTGTGCACACATGAGAGAGAGAGAGTAAAACAATCACAGTATTTTACACGAGCACACACACACAATGCTTTCCAACATCTGACCGCGTGTGGCATGCATCGGGGGTGTGTCAGAACTGTGAATATCGCCGTTGTTAAATGTGTGAATTACACCAATTTGGTTATTGTCCAATGTGGGGGTGGGGTGGGAAATGTGGAGGGAGCGTGCCTTGCGCAAGAGTGAGCGGTTCGCAAAAAAAGTCAACGCGAATCCGCGTTTGGTGGTGGGGGGTGGGTGGTGTGTGTATGGGATGGGATGATTGTCACTGCGGCCAATGGAGCGCGCGTGGTTTGTGCGTCTGGCCAGAGCAGGGAGAGAACAGAGAGAGAACAGAGAGAGAGAGGATGGCGCCATCTTTCGTGGCAGCCCAAAGTAGGTCAGTGGGACAAACCGAACGCACAGGGCCCTGACATTGTTTGGTTGATGGATCCGTCCGCTCTCTCAATTTACCTTCGCGATTCGCTCTCGACGGCCTCCCGGATTTCTGTTATTTCGTACATTCGAACTGCGGTTTGTACCTGTTGCAGTGTTTGTAGATTTAAAATAATAATGTAA